ATTCTAGGAAAGGACCCAGCTGGGTAATTGGATAGAAAAAGGATAGTCTTAGAGCAGTGTCTGAGAGAATCTAGAAAGGGCAGGGTTAAAAGCAACTAATGGGGCGCGCCCAAACTAATATCAAGTAGCTTATACTAAAGAGAAAAGGAGCTAATACCCCACAAAGAGAGGAAAGTTAGAACCCCCCCCCGAGTCACCCTAAAAAACTAACTATCTTAAAAGAAACGGCAAAACTAACTGCTGCTTGGTGGCAGCCTATCCAAATCCCTAAGTCTGTATCAGGAGAAAATATAGGCGCAAACTCATGCGCTGTGGAAACCCAGGTAAATGAAAGATGAGAGTAAAGAAAATCAATTGAGTATAATAGCATCGGCTAAGTTAACCACCAAACTTATAAAAGCCTGGGAGAGGCTAATCCTGCAAGGTATGTTTGACTTAATAAAGGTGTAAAAATACACCTAAAATAATAAATGGGTAACAAAGCAGGTTAGTCTAAATCCATTCTAGGAAAGGACCCAACTTGGTAATTGGATAGAAAAAGGATAGTCTTAGAGCAGTGTCTGAGAGAATCTGGAAAGGGCAGGGTTAATAGCAACTAATGGGGCGCGCCCAAACTAATATCAAGTAGCTTATACTAAAAAGAAAAGGAACTAATACCCCACAAAGAGAGGAAAGATAGAATAATACCCAGTTGGGTCCTTTCCTAGAATGGATTTAGACTAACCTGCTTTGTTACCCATTTACTATTTTAGGTGTATTTTTACACCTTTATTAAGTCAAACATACCTTGCAGGATTAGCCTCTGCCAGGCTTTTATAAGTTTGGTGGTTAACTTATAATCAATACACTATTTTAGTGTATGGTAATAGTATTTGGACTATATACCATTTTAGCATTTTTTTCTAATAAAGGTTGTTTATCCTCTTCTATGTGACTATTTACATTATGAGGTACTTTGAATGAGGCTAGGCATTCCACCCACTTTTTTGTGAGTGGACTGTCTGCCCCATTTTTCGTCTCTTTTTTTTCTATGTTTAAAAGTAGTATGTGGTTTTTATTTTAATTCTTTATTTTTGGTGACATGCATTGTAATGGTTGCATACAAGACAGTTTGAGGCGTTTAAAAAGATAGCAGTGTATCTTCTCTTGAGATATATATATTGGTATATAGACATAGTAATACTACATTATACTTCAAACGTATATCCGCCCTCCATTTAGTAGTGTCACAATTTTCTAATTATGTAAGAAACGAAAGTGTAACTCGTGCTACCTATATAAATCAACAGATCTGTTGCAAAAAAAATAATTGGGCAGACTAGATGGGCCGATAGGTTCTTATCTGCCATCACATTCTATGTCTCTATGTATGCAGCGTACCCTAGTGTTTGAAATGATAAATACCCCACTATCAGAGGGGCTCTGCATCGTTGTTAGAGTGGTTGTAGCTATTGTTTGTTTAGAAATGATAGATTAAAGGGAGAAAGGATAGAAAAGAGGTAATTTAAAAAAATTAAAATTATAAGTAATTTTAAGGGTGATTTTTAATGTTATTCTATGATCGTATACCTTAGTTTATGTCTCCCTGCCTCCCTACACTTTGCTAATGTCACCTGTCTTTGTGTGTATATGTCCCTAGAGAAGTACTGCTATGATAATAACTGAGCTTTATAGTAACTAAAACCTCTCTGGAATTCCAGCTGCCTTTTTGACTCATTAAATAAACATTTTAATATAATTAATGCAAATTGTGTCAGCAAAGCAGTGTCTGCCACGTGCTGCACACCGGATACTAATTTCTGGAACTCTTAGAATGAAAACTCAATTTGAATACATGGGAACAATTCAAGTTCAGAATGTTCATGTGTGTGTGTATGTTTATGTATATACACTGAACAAAATTATAAACACAACACTTTTGTTTTTGCCCTTTTGTTTTTGAGCCTAAGGCACAACTTTGCAAAAATCATGCTGTCTAATCAGCATCTTGATATGCCACACCTGTGAGGTGGATGGATTATCTCGGCAAGGGAGAAGTGCTCACTAACACAGATTTAGACAGATTTGAGAATAATATTTGAGAGAACTAGGCATTTTGTGGGCATAGAAGTCTTAGGTCTTTGCGTTCAGCTCATGAAAAATGGGGGCAAAAACAAAAGTGTTGCGTTTATAATTTTGGTCAGTGCATATATATGTCTCACTGGAATAATATGTCTCCAGCATTCTCAGCCTATCACTGCTAACCAGACAGAACTGATATTGATAATGCACAGGTGTAAAAGTGCATCGTGTGAGTGCATTAGTAAATGCACTGGGAAAGAATTATAGGGCATTTCAGTAAAAATGTGAGCTGGAGAAATCTGAATACGGGCAACCTTGCTATGACTCCTTGCCCGGCAGCCTAACATCCTGGTATGTATCTACCCTAGGATGGGTAGCTTGCATAGTGTCTGGGAGGTTTAAAAGTAATGCAAATGTTGTCCCTGGCTTGCCATAGAACAAGCACTGTGTTATGGTCATACACATGCCAAAGTTGTCAAGCATGCAAATGTTGCAGTCAAGTGGACACATTTTGTCTTTAAATGGCCATTCATCACAGTATCGTCTAGGAGTCTAGTTTAATTCTTTGAGGATTTGTGTGATTGGACTATTAGGTTTTAAGGTGATAAAAAATGCGGCCCTCAATTTTACTGGGATGAATACATTCTAAAACATAAACACTTAATTTAGCTGTTAAAATATCAAACAAATGAGATATATATATATATATATATATATATATATACCTAAAGTCATAGCCGTGCTCATAGATTGTGCCTGGGTGCTTGCCGAGGTCAACAGGGTAGGTCAAGGGGGCTCCACAGCCGGTGGGGAGATCAAAAATTTCCCTCACCAGCCTGGCCACCATAATGGGGGGGGGGGAGGAGAAATTGGTCTGCACTTTCAGCGTGTACGGATCAAGTTTTCCACTCTTGTTCAAACAATAAGACTACACAGTTAAGTCCCAGACGCGTCAGTTAATTCAGGGACAGATTAAAATGCATTTGATTCAATCGTACCAGCTTAAATGCATTTGTGCACACGTCTAGAGGGGACGGGCTGCTGGGGACTTTTGGTTAGCATTAAAACATTAAAAACTGTTTAAAGCTAAATACAAGGATGGTGCTGAGGGACTCCAGGAACTGTAACTAAAATATCCATTCAAAGAGTAACCTGAAAAACAGAGGATGCAGATCTGTATGGTAGACACTAGAGACCTAATATTAGGATGTATCCCATTTTAGACAAATGAGGTTCTAAGGAAGTCCGCTTTGTAGTAGCTCATTTGTTAACCTGAGGGAATTAAGCAAAACTTTAAAATGCAAGCCTCGTAAATAGATTATTCTAAAGTACCAATTTTTACCTTACTCATAAGGATTTTTAGAAATATTCACATTTCAGAAACTAAAGGGTTTGCTAGTGGAGGGACAGAATACAACGTGGAAGGGTTGGCGCAGGGTGTGTGACATTGATACGATTATTATCACCAGTAATGTTCGTGCCAATAATAATAAGAAACAAATCAATATTAAGGCCAAACTATCCAAAATATCTGCTATTTTTTCATCTTAGTTATTTTGGCCTTAAAAGTGGTACCAACAGAACCTCATTTAGTGAATTGTGTCCCATAACCTGGCCAAGCAAGTTATGGTTCCTTCCCCAAAGCAGAAAATTAAGATCTTGTCTATACAATTCTATGACTAATGCCAGGTTTTTATAAAAATACTCAAATCAAAGGCATTTTTTTTTTATTTTTTATTATTATTTATTTTGTCATGCACCAAGGCAGCAATATAGCACATCATTTTTTAAACAGAAAAAAACCAACAAAAAGGAAATATTAAATATAAGGCACTTTACACTTAAAAATTACTCTGCTGTGAACAGAGCTGTTGGGATTCATTCAATAGGAAGCAAAGGCCTGCATGCCATGCGGTAGTTTCAGTCGTCCACTGTGATGTTGCCAATTGCCATGCCAAAGTATCTTGAGTGATAACGAGAGAACAAACTAAAAGGGGGAAAAAATGAACATAAAGGAACCAATATGGCCCTACTACTGGCAACAATAAGGCAGTTTTAAATCACAAAACATGATGAGAAAACATGGCATGTTATCTTACATCTATATACAGCACCCCTATTCCATGAATATTACGGAATTGTAATTTTCTTTTTTTTTTTTAATTCTTTATTTTTGTTGTGCAAAAGTTTGACAGACAAGCTTGCCATGCCACAACAGTAAATACAGACATTTCAAGAGGCGTAAGACTGTGGCATGTAGTAGTACTGCACATTTTTTAAGATAAACATAGTGATACATATAGTGTTGCTTAACAAGAAAACAGCAGAATTATTTGAGACACACTATATGGATTGACAATAACGTAGTCGAGTATAATATATTTAAGAAGAGTGAATAGTAGTGAAACAAGCTTATACGACCTGAATAAGCGATACATCTAGGGACGTGAGGGTCAATGTGGTTAGGCTTGTCATATTGTGGTAGTCGGTTAACCGTGTAGGAGCTGCATAAACCTTCAAATTGTGTACTAAGACTACACCGACTAGTTTAGATACTGACACTAGATATCGCTTAGGGGAAGGAGGCCACCAGCTAGTTTAATACCTGGGTGCTTATTGTTAGTGAGATCATGAGGTAGGAGACATATTAGTACAAGCTTAAAACATAATAGTAAAACAAATTTACTGGTTAGGTAGTAGTGCTATGTATGAGAGGGAGCAACAGGCCGTTTCTCTAGTATATCTAGTGTCCCCCTGTACCTATCCCATTCAGCCTATGCCTGCAGCTGTCAGGCAGAGTCCAGACCCATTCGCAGGGTATCTTGCTTCTTCCATGGGGACTTGCTCCCGGTGTTTGCCGGCCGTCCTCTCTGTGCGAGCTGGATCACTGTGGGGCCGGGTCTATAAGGACCACATAGGCCGTCGCTGGAGCGGGTTGCCTGCAGGTCTCCGCTGGGTCAGTAGCTGAGGCGCGGCTCTCTGCCGCCGTCTGTGCCCAAGCGTGGTCTCCCACCACCACGGGTGTTCTCGGTGGCTTCTCACATGACTTTTAACTCTCTTGTGCTGGGGTCGCTTGTGTGGTTTGATCCGCCGCCATGTTGAGGCCAGTCTGGTGCTCTTGCCTTGCATGGTATTCGGGGTTGGAGGCAGCTGCATGCAAAGGTGGCCGCTTGTCTGCTGAGGAGTTAGCGGCTGTGATCTGCCCTCCAGTTTAAGCCAAAAGTTAGCGAACAGTGCATCCAGCTTTTGTAGGATATCAGGCTTGTAGTCGGTGCTGTCGGCATCCGCCATGATGTCTGTTGCGCTGTGTCGTAGGAAGGTTACTGATGTAGAGCCCTGTGTTCCCTTCAGACTTGGTGTGCCTCCTTGGGATGGACCGCGATCACCCCCAACGGTCCAGGGGGGGAGTAACGGGGTTTTAGCTCGACTGGGTTCGGCTCCAAGCTGCGCCGGGCCGGGAGATCGACCGCTTCTCCCGCCCGGCACCTGTTAGGCCTCATGCTGTGGGGACTGTAGCCAGCAGGCATCGGGTGTACCACAGACCGGTGTGTTGCTTCCCAGTCCCGTCGAGGGTCATTTGAGTCGAGTGTTGTCATCCGGTTCGGGTTTATCAAGTTTGAAAACGCCATCAATTGCCCTGTTTGTGAAGGAGCTCTGCCAAAGCACGTCTGTCCTCCATGCGAGACAGGCCCCGCCCCCGGAATTGTAATTTTCTATACCGTAATCTTTCTAAAACTGAACTCCTCATCTTTCCCACCTCAAATAGTTCACATCCATCTATCTGACTGTAGGTCAGCGGAACACCAATATCTCTCAAGTGTCCCTATTTAGTTACACAGTCCCTATTTTGGGTCCAAATCCCTATGTCTCTCTTTTTACCCTAATATCCTTCTTCTCTAGGAGCTCTATATTGTTGGTGTGTTTGAGCGTATAACAAAGCTACAGAAGTAAAGCTTACAGAAATGCATCTTTAAACTACAGTAAATGTGTTTAGAAATCAGTCTGTGTAGACAAGATACATTGATCTTGCTCTAAACTATATTTTAGTTACATAAATTGTTACTAGTAAGTCACCTTAGATTTCTCAGAATAGCCTTGCTTCTGGCATACCCCAATTCACACCACTAAAATCAAAGTGTCCTTTTCAAATGTTGGGATATATGGAAACCTATTACCTCAACTCCTCAGGTTTGCTGCCTTGGAGTTACTATTGATTTGGGTCTTACCTTTTCTTCTACATCCAGTGTTTATGCAAATCAAAACTTTCGCCTTAATGATATTGCCTGTGTTTGCCCTTTTCTAACTCAAGATACAATTAAAGACACTTGTTCATGTGCTCATTATTTCCCAACTTGACCATTACTCATTGGCCTTCAGTCTGTTATGAATGATTCCACCAGGCTCATCTTTCTGACTGACCTCTATGCCCACAACTCTTCCCTTTGCCATCATTACATTGCCTTCCTGTACCCTCTGTGATCCAATTTAAACTGTTAACACTAACCTACATTGCCCTCAATAATTTCATTCATCACATTTCTTCTTTATTCAACAAATGCACCCCTTGTTTTTCCCTTCTCCTGACATCTGCACATTCCTGCACTACCATTTCTCACCTGCAGGATTTTACAAGGGCTGCCCCATTTCTCTGGATTTTCCCTACCCCGTGCCTGCTGACTTAAATAAATTTGTATTTCTGGTAGACGATGCACAAATATGTGATTTCCAAAATGTTTCAATTTACGCTATCCTATTATTTGTGACCTGTTTATACTGACAGCTCTTATTATAGTCCAGACTGGCCCATCTTTTCTGAATTTATTGGAGTCGTAATATATTATGATCTCCTGTAGTTGCACTTTCTTGACCCACACCGATTATGTGATATACTGGGGATTGTTGAGAAAGAGCAATTATAGGGCAAAGTTCTAGAGGTGGAGCAATTAACAGGTACATTAAGCTGGCTTCCTTGTTGAATGTTCTGTTGATAACCCTGTTTAACTCACATACAACTGCAGTTATGGAACCACAAAGATCTTACTTTAGCTAAGTTATATTTCATAAAGGAAATTTTGAAAAATGCACTAAATGGTGCTAACAACTATGTAAATGCACATTCTTCTCTAATTTCCCCAATATGTAACTTCAGGCAGCATTGGGAGTCCCCCTTGCAAAATGAGTATTTGATAAAGACAAAATCTTTATTAAATACTCATATTGACTGTTTTGGAATTTCACTGAAATTCCAACCTCGTCAACAGATATACTGAAACAGAGTAGGGACTACTTTGTCTCAGTATTTATCCTCCACTTGACACTGGACGGAGCTACCCCCATCAAGAAATGGCAGCTCCCCAGCCCTCACCAATGACAGCTACATGAAATTGATTCTGTGTATTTAGGATCCTGCGGTCTCACTGCTGTACTTTTGCACATGCCAGCACCCCCTAGGTAGAGGTTCAGGTAAGTGAAACTCATCTTTGCCTACCCCCCAGCCACAAATTATGCAAAGACCCCATATAGTGACCGTGCCGCTTTAAATTATGGATCCACTGAGTAAGTAATGTTCTCTGGACTATATAAACTAGCAAAGGGCGTAGGTCAGAAAAAATGCACAGGTGCGAAGGTTTCATGCCAGCAGTGCAATTTCCATACCTGCTTATTTAATCATCAATCATTAGAAATACAATTTAATAAACAATATACTATGCTGTGCAAATGGAATAATAACATTCCTAAATACTCATTTAGTTCTGTATTGGCTGTTGAAATTCAGACTCGTCATGCTGCTTAATTCCAAAAGCAAGTCCTGTTGTGCTGACATCCCACTTTGATCCTTCTATGAAATACCCCTACAGACATGAGGGTCACCTCCACCCCTCCCCCTCTACTCCTCCTACCGCCCCTCCCCCTCCTCCCAGGATGGCTCACTTGTATTATTTATCTGCCATCTTGTGTTCCTCCCCAACTGCCATTTTGTTTCACTGTCTTTCGTCCTTCTGCTAATAGAGAATCTCACGGTGATCATTTTTTGGCTGCTATCCTAAACCACCTACCCCATGGGTGCAGCCAGGTTTGCCTGTTATTATAAAAATGATATATACTTTTTATCTCATTGCTTTCTAATGATTGTTTGCATGGATGTAAATTGATGCAGGCCCTGCAATAAAATGGCAATGAGCTTGCAACATAAATGCAACAAAACTCCAATCTGTTCTTCAAAGTTTTCTATTAATACCACAATACCATGGGCGTCTTGCAACACTCTGCAAATTGCTTGCCCTTTGATAAATGATCTGTGTTTTTGTTGTAGCATTTGGTGATAATAGGGATTCTACCACAATACATTTATATGACAGTTTAATAATAAAAAAATTTCATAGAAGAATGACCTAAAGTTCTTCCAGCCAGAGCCGGCTCATAAGAGAAAATGATATTATGAAAAAGAGGAGGGAGAGCTTATGAGATCTAAAAAGAGCTAAGGCTGGCGGGGGTCTTGACTGCCAACTTCTGAGTTTGTATAAAATGCCCTCTGCGTACATTCATCAGCCCATAATAGGAGTTTAGAATCACAAGGTAAAGCCAAAATAAATAGAATAAAAAGTTTTTGGTTTTAACTCCATTTCCTTAATTTTTCCTAGAAGTGCTGAGCTGTTGCTCTGTGGTGTTCCACTGTGGAATTCAGCAAAAACAGGAAACACTTGGGAATGAAGCCCTGTATTCTAGCCAATCAGACTGCTGTTTCTTCTTCTTCGTTTAATCATTTTCTAAATCTGCTATTTATTAGGCTTGTTTGTAAGCAGAAATATGTGTAACTGAATGAACTCAAAAGCAGACACTTGTTGTCCTTCTGGTTTAGTAAACTTGTTTCCCAGCCGAAGATACTACTTTGCTTGGTGCTAGGCAAAATAGGAAGAGTGCAGGTCTGATCTTTGAGGTCCAAAACCTGAGCAATATTTGCCTTAACTTTTTGGTATAAATGTAAAAGCAGGGGAACTGTGCCTAGATCTGCACACACTTCTCTTCCTTAATCATCTACCATCTAAGCTGTGTGTTACAGATATCATAGGATGGCCTGTCCTGGCACATCTAAACAGTATTTATGTGGAAAGTGGCTATAGGCCAAAGGACATCGATTCTCTATATATACACACTCTAAGCAAATGGAGGTTGAGGACCAACAGTAATGGATTAGAGAGGGGGTAGCAGTGACCTCTGTTTCCGGCACACACTCAAATGCTTCACAGAGTGCCAAGCCACTGGGCCCCTTGGGAGCTGAGAAATGTCTTGGATGGACCACATAAAGTCTCTATATATACAGCCCTGAGTTGTGACTACATGTAGTGGGCCAGCGTTTTCACAGAATGATATATTAAATGGACTAACTAAGTTCATTTTTATATGAGTATGAACACATAGATACTGAGCCAAAATGTGTCTATTAACACGTGTCTCTTCTCAGGGATGGAAACTGAAGCACAAGAGTAGAAGCTGATTGCGATGGGCTAGGACCTCATTGTCCAGCCAGGGCCGTCTTTAATAACGAATGGACCCTGGGCAGGTGTTTGCTTGGGCCCCCTGTGCCCTGCCGCTCTCGCCCCTCACTCCCTGGTATGCAATCACGGCATCCATCCCAACGCAGTGGCGGTACTAAAGTAGAATGAATTTTATTGGGACCCCCAATTGCAAGGTTGGACTAAAGGTAGAACCCCATCTGTCGTGCAACTCCAACAATGCTTTGACAGCTGGGACTCTACCAATTTCCCATGCTTGCAGGGTTGTATTTAGCACTGAGCCATGTTAGTATGTTTGAATGTAAGCATGTGTTTGTATGGAGTATGTTTGTGTGAATGTGTTTGTATGTGGTACTGGAGTTTGAATGCAAGTGTGCATTTATGTGTAGTGTTTGTTTTTGAATGTAGGAGTGTGCTTGTATGTAGTGTTGACGTTTCAATGCAGGAGTGTGTTTTATATGTAGTGTTGAAGTTTGAATGGAGGGGTGTATTTGTATTTAAAGTTGCGGCTCAGATGCACAGGTACACACTCTGACGCACAAGCAGATACACAGATACATACACTGACTACATACAGATAAACAGGCACATACACTGACAGACACAGGTACATATATTGACACACACACAGACACATACACTGGTAGACGTACTGACAGACATACTGACACAGGCACATATACAGACATACTGACACACAGACACATATACCGACATACTGACACACACACACACAGACACTGATCAACATACTGACACACACACACTGACAGAAAT